CAGAATTGGATTACAAGAAAATGCAATTAATTGTTTCTGAAGGTCAGCGGCAATCAGAAATAGATCTGCCAGATTACAAGTTTAATAGGCACTCAAAAGCTAAGCTGAGTGCACATAACTGGAAATGATTTGTAACATAGACTCAATGAGAGTTCAGGCCCAATCACCATTATAACAAATCTTAACCACAAAGAAGGCAGTTCTGTCTGATAAGGAGAAAGAATTATCTTCAATTCCAAATAGCCACCAGCCCTCATCTGGTTGCTTTGAAAGATTAGTCCCATTTGTTGTTTTCCATGATTAATCAGTCCCACGCTTGCCAAAATGCATTGAAAGGTGAGAATGAGATGCACTTTCACGTCTTTCGTATTGATGATATCATAGCCAAAATTCTAGGGATTCTTTGTTAAAAAAAAAAAAAAAAAAAGAGACACTAAATTTGGTCTTATTTATTTCTTCCTTTTTCACTTGTTTAGTGTTTGCTTAAAGTACATATGCAAGATTCAGTTTACATATTTCATCCACGAAGGAATACGCACAACATTTTCTATATAAGGGTGTTAAACGTGAATAGGGACATTATAGAGGAGTTTATCTGTTAGGTGTTTACCAAGTGATTTTTATTGAATAAGTTTTGACTCGAACAAGATGAAAAATAGGCATTGAGCATGAAAGGTGATTTTTGGAGGATGAGAATTGTTTACTTTCTTCTAATAACATACGTAATTTGATTTTAGAAGATTTATTTCTTTTACAAGTTTTGTCTTTTGTTGGGCTTTTAAAAAAATTATTCCCCATAGCCACTGATTGGCAGACTTTGGAGCCATAACATGAGCTAAAGATATGCATCATATTTGTTGGGCTTTCACAAGCCACAATCATTATCATTCAGACCATAATAACCAAACAATGATTAGAAGATTCCAATACCAAGACAACTTGGACGATTTGGCTGAGTTGGATCAGTCTTCGTGGCCAACTCAGGGTTGGATACAGCATGGGCACAATTTGTTGTTGACTCACCTTGATTCAGGCCTGTATCAGCTGACTTAGACGAGATTTTGTAGCCTCAAACCATCAAACTCTTTGGGGGAATAAATCAAGCCTAGAGTTTATTAACCAAACAATTATGAAATTTCTTAATTTTATGTACATGAAACCTTAAGAAAATAAATACTTTTTACTGGGAAAAAAACCCTTAAAAATATACATTATTCAACAACTAAGTACTGTACCAATCTTTTAGACAATGTTATACTGTTAGATAGTGCATTTTACTTATTTTATTCGTACATTAGTTGTTCTCACCATTTCTAGCATTTTCATGAACTTTTTATATTGTGGAGATTTACCCGTAGTGGATTGTAATCTGCCGCCTGTTACCTATCCCTGATACCATGATTTAGTTATATCAATGTTTGCGCAATCTTAGATATGTCATATCAATGTGTCAACTGCGGGCTGTGTTCAAGCATCCGATATGTCAAATTCTCAAACACAAGGACATACTGATATTGCTATATATTTATACTATCTAATATTTTTCTTTTATTTTCTTAATTAAAATAAGGTTTTGATGTGACAGTGTTCATAGATATTTAATTCTCTTTGAAGCATCAGTGTAACAAAATGAATTATTGGATGAGTTTTTTTAAGTACATGTCGAACCAAATGTGTTGGACACATATCTCTTACATTGAAGATCTAATCAATATAGCTCAATGCCTGTGCATAACATGATTCCAGAAATTAAAAATCACATGCTAATATATGGTCTTAAACAAGATTTAATTACTACATACAGAATTTATTTCCAAAATCTAAGACGAAGTATCATACAAGTAGGCACACCTTTGGCCCTGCTTCATCTCGCATATTGCACAGTGCAATTTCATCAACTGTAGCCCATATTAAAGAATTAATTATTTGGATCCTTTATTAGACAAATGAAAAAATTAAACGAAGACAAGACCATTGTAACTGCAACCTTGAGAAAGAGTGAAGCAGTACATGAGCATGGGTGCATTCAGTGTTATTAAAGGCCCAAGGTGCACCAAGGCGCTGGAGGTCCTCTACAGCCTAGGCGCGAGGCGTGCGCCTGAGTGAAGTGAGGCGCACAATTAAAAATTTAAACTACCATAAAAACATTCATATCTCATAAGTCATATCAATATTCTAAAAATTAATATCAAATATAAAAAAATAAACCCATCAACTAAACAATCATCTAACTACCATAAAACAGAGCACAAATTTGTTTTCTTGAAAGGCAAAAGATAATTTTTTTTTTTTAATGGCAAAACAAAGCACAAAAAGAAATAAATATGTTAACCAAAAAAAAAAAAAAAACTGTTAACAAGAAAAGAAAAGAAAAAATAAAGCACACAAAAAAAAAAAAAAAAAAGAAAGAAGCAAAAACGGAAGAAGTAGATGAAGAGAGAGAAGTAGATGAGAAGAGAGAGAAAGTGTTAAAGAAAAAATAGAGCCCCCCCGCCCCAAAAAAAAAGACTCAGAGAGAAGAGAACTAGACGAAGAGAGAGATGTCAACAAAGGTAAGAAGAGAGGAGTAGAGGAGAAGAGAGGAGTAGAAGAAAGAACCGACGCGGTTTCGTCGTTCATCTCTACAACTAGGGCTTCGTCATTCGTCTCAAGATCTCACTCTTTCTCTGTTCGGTTAACACTTCGACTCTTGGACTTTCTTATTTGTTTATTCTTTTGAACAAAAGTTTCTTTTCTCGTATGCTTGAGCTTTCTTATTTGTTTATCAAGGCTCCGTTCATTGGGAAGGAAGTAAATTGGATAGAAAAGAGAGATGAAGGGAAGGATGAGACATCCCTAGGGAAGAGATTATGGATTTCTCTCGTTTTGTTCGGTTGGATGGAAGAGAAGAGAAGAATTTACCAAATTCCTTTGTTCGTTGCGAGAGAAGGGAAGAGAGAATTTAAAATTATTTTTACCATTATACCCTTCATTATTTTTTTTTCCCGGTAAATAGCCATCATCTTTACTACTCATTTAAACAGTATCATAATTTCACTCTAATTTATTGTTCGCTTTAATTATATATATATATATATATATATATATATATATATATAATATCATATTTCATCATGAATAATAATAATATAAAAAAATATACCCCACTATCTATATACTTCGTTGATAAATATTATCCCAGTAGAGTCATGTCAAACTAAAATTCTTATTTTCAGCCATTTGCGTTGTATTTAACTTGCATTACAACATGAGATCTGAACACTCAAAATTATTTGCATCACTAGTTGTAGTCATACAATATATGACAATACTAGTGAAGTAACTACTGTTTTTTGAACTAGGTGTGAACATAGAGTTTTTTTTTTTTTTTCGTTCTAAATATGTTCTTAAAAAATGCTTTATGGCATTGTATGGTTCTTTATGTAGACTCTGTATTTTTTCTTCTGAATCCTCTTTTTTACTAATAAGGAAATTATATAACAAACAATCCATATATATATATATATATATCTATAGAAAAGATCCAGATCTCGACCAAACAAGGATTACATGACCTGGGGTACAAAAGCATGATAAAGGAGAAGGTGTATATATATATATATATATAACACATGAATCATACCTTGATAGGGTTTTTTTGTGTGAGATGAGATGTGTAGGGTTTAATTTTTAATATTTGGAAAGGATAATATTGTAATTTAATAGTTTTATAATAGCTCGACTTATTTTCTCTCCTGTCTTCCACCCAAATTTGAGCGGATGAAAATTTGTAAAGGAGGAGGAATAAGACATCCCTCCTATTATCCTTTCCCTCCGTGTCTCCTTCCTACCGAACGAAGGAATTTTGTTCCTTCCCTCCTATTTTCTTTCCACCCCTCTTTCTTCCTTCCTACTGAACAGAGCATAAGTTGCCAAAAGTGCCTTTTTTGGCTTAAGAAATAAAATAGTCATAGTTCTTAGAAAAATCAAGAAGGTGCGCCTGACAAATAAGGACGAGGCGCAACCGAGGTGCGCGCCTAGTAAATAGCAATGAGCCTGGGATGGCAACAGGCGCTAGACCTGCGCCTCGAGCCTTCGCGCCTAGGCACGCCTTTAACAACACTGGGTGCATTCATTCAAAAAAACACCTTTACATCCAACGAGCTACTGAATTCTCTATGGACAATTATTGCAACTTATGTGATATCCAGGTCAGATCAAAAGTGATTTGTAATTATATAAATTAAAAGGTGAAAGTGGATATAGAGTTAACTTAAATTTATCTTGCACACCTCAAGTTCTAGCCATACAAACTCTGACATCCTCACTGAATTGAGAAAATACCCTAAAACCTGACACAACCACAAAGTAATATAACTGGGATCATGCTGGGGTAGATTCTCCTCTCAAGCTAACAATTTATAACTTGGAGAGGAATTCAAACAAATATGTCATGGATTAGGTTACTAAAGACCATGAGCACATATCTGCGAGGAAGAGAAAATAGAATGTAACCCCTTTCAATTTCAATCATGATCTTTCAACAAAATCTACGTCCACAACTCATTACTTGTGGGCTATATTTTCCAACTTCATCTTCCTGCAAATGGATACCTCAAAATAATTACTGAAAAGGGATGGATCCCTCTGAAAATTTCCACACTAGAATTTTCCATTAGAGCATTGCGGACTTACTATTCCATGATTAGTTGTTCATACAGAGTCAAATGACATCCTACAATCTAGATCAATTAGGCTAACTCCTTCAGAAACAGAAACACTTTGAAACAACCAAACAATTTAGGAAAATGAGTTTTATGTTTCAATAACAGAACTAGAAAAAGAAGTTTCGAACAATGAAAAACTAATAACCTTATTTTTAAGAAACTTGAAGCATGTGTTAGAACAAGGAACTAAATTGATGACAAGGAACTTTTAAATATCAATTAAAAGTTGGTTAAAGGAGGCAACATAAAATCCCCAAGATAGTGCATAAAGCATAGGCTGCAAAAATGGCCTACCTCTTGCCTTCACAACACTCTTCAATTTTCCTCCAAAAATCTCACTCAACTTCGACGGAATGAAGCTGTGTGTTCTTGTAATAGCAGTTTTGTTCTTTGGGCCAACAGTCTCCCAATTATCATCATTGTCATCCTCATCATTCATAGATGAAACCAAGGAGGCTTTTCCACCATTTTCAATTGGAATTTGACCTTCAAGTTTAAGCAATTCATCGTGCATTTGATGCATGACAAAACTCAAGAACTCCTGAGCATCTTCTTGCCTGGAAAAGAAGAGAATATTCAGCTATACCCAAGTACAAAGACAACAACTCGCATGCACACCTACCCTCAAATGCGCGCATACGCATGATCAAGCTGTGTGTGTTTGGTAAAAACTTCTAACTTAAATTTAATACAAATTCTAGTTTCGTGATATAGTTCAACATGTCTTATTTCCTTAGAAGTTAACTGTCATGGTGCAATCAGGAATGCCAAATTTGAGAGTCTAGATAGTGGGATACTTACTGAATCTGCAGGATTGAAACGTAAACTGAGATAATGAGTTCAAAAAATAAATTGGATAGATATACAAATAAATAACATTTGGCAAAAGCTGAGAAGTAACATAAATCTAAAGAGGGAAAAAGAAAACCTACAAATTCAAATTAATGTGTCCTCCTGGACCAATACTAGTTATAAACATGAATTATCCAAAAAAAAACACTAATAATAAACATGAGAACAGAGATATTTTATATTTAAAAATAAAGATGAACAGAAGGGAGAGAGGAACTCAAAATACAAATTCAAACCTTGGCCTGCCTGACATGCTATTTGGCACATCCGGACTGAAACTTTTCAATATAGATTCAAACATGATAGGGCGGAAAGGCCTCCCAGTTTCCAGAACAACCATTGATTTTTTCTTCGTGCTCCACTCGGTTTGCATGTCAAAGTCAGAGATGAAGTCAACAAATGCATGTAGCGCTGGATACCCAACCTAAATATGGAAGAAAAAATTGACAGGTCATATATATATATATATTTGATAATTAGAAAGTAAATAGAAAGGCGTTCAAAAGCGGAACACATCCCAATTACAAAAATGGAACCGAGGCTAGGGCCCCAAAGGACAGGTCATATATATAAATTACACATTTATCATAAATATTCTTATAAACATAACAACTAAGTTTGCAGTCTACCTTTGGTATATCACGAGTTCTTAATTCCTGCAGGAGTACAACAAAAGGAGGACAGGAGAGAAGAGCCTGCAGTGTTGCATTGAGAAAGCATAGATTCCCCAAGTTGACTAAACCTCGAGGTACTAAATTTCTATCATTTGCACACAATTCATCCGATACCTTGTGAATATTTTCTTTGGCATCTGCAATATCCACAATATCTGGTGAAGCAACTAAGGCATCACTTTCACAATGGTTCGACGATAGAGTCACACCAATCCCGTGCCGTTTTGGAGTTGACTGATTTGATTGATCAGATAGACATGACCCAGGTAGGTCTGTATTGTTTGTTTTCAGTTCTTTCGCAATATCACTATGGCGAACAGGATAAGAATCGTGGATTCTTCCGTTTTCATCTCCAGTTGCGGCTACTATTTGTGATGTATCTTCTATTGTACAAACAGTCCCGGATCCTAATGTTGGTTTATTAACCAGTTTTGATAGCTGACCTTTGGAATTCTCAATCCCTGCTGCTTTAGTGTTAAATATTCCCACAGATCTTAATGTAGCAATGTCCAAAGAACCAAACTTTATTTCTATATCATTCTCAGGTGGCTGTCCTCTCAAGAACTTGATTTCATCTTCTGTAAATGACCCAAATACCAACATCTGGGAGTAATAAACAGGCAAAAAATAGGTAAACCACATAAAAATGAAATGGAACAATAGGATGCATAATGTGACGTCCTAAGAATGAAAAAATAAAGCAGTAAAAATGTAGTTACCAATTTAGTAAACAACTAAATGTAGTATGTTACTAATTAGTAATTAGCATGCATAAATTACTTAAAAATTAATATATAATTGTATTTATTAATTAGTTATCAAATTATCAAATATTCAATTTATGATTTAATTCATAACTTGATTTTTTACATGAACTTTTCATGATTAATTCAAAACTCAATATTAAATTGTTTGAAGTTTAATTACTGAATAAATTCTATAGATTTTTATGTTCAAGTACATTTGTCGTCATAAAAGCAGTGAGGACAAAATTAGCAAGCTTTTATTACCTGCATTGACTTAAAATTCAATATAAAATTTACTACCCATATTAAATCATCTTCAAAAATTAAATAAAATCATTAAGAAACCAAATTCTCGAGATTTTGGAATTAAAACATGTGTGCCACTACATTTTAGGGGGAGTTAGACAATGAGAAAAAAATAATAATAAATCTTACAACCATGGTCGTCACCCATGACCTGTACATCCTGCGTTTATTACACCATGACTGTTGCCTTTATACTATTTGTTATCTCTACTCAATAACCTTGTTTACAGGTGTACTTGCACATGTCAGTTTTATGAATCTGTTTGAACCACCACATACCCCAACTATAACATGTTCAAGATGCAGCTAAACATGTGTACCATGCTTATTTTGACGTGCAAGATACTGCGTGAGTGACTTGGAGGCAAACCTTACAGGAGACTACCCCATGAACACTAGGGTGATGTAAAGAATTGCATTAAATAGATGGAAGCACATCAAAATCGCAGGATTAAAACGTCACTTAAAACCACATAACAATTGCTTACCTCCCCAAATATTGCCTATAGACATGGGCAAATGTGTCAAACACTTTAGTATTGACATTGAGGTGAGGACCTTCCTGAATGGTACTGGATGAAATCGCAAGAATAGAGCTCAAAGAGGAGATCATGTCTCATGGAGTGAAGCGGCCATGTTTATTTCAAAGATAGATAACATTGTTTGTCTTGTTGCCACTCCAATAAAATGTTTTATTACCATGGATGTACGTATATATAATAACCTAGGAAACACAGACACGGGTATAGGATACAAACACAACATGATACGGGTACAGCGATATGGTAGATATAAATATATATATATATATATATATATATATATATATATATATATTTTTGGTCAATTTTTTAAAATGTTATGAATCTAAATGCAATCATTAATATAACATAAGAGGTTTGTTCAAAATACAAAAAACATGCATCCCTAGTCATCACTTAATAAATTTAGATCTTTTCTTATCAATTATACTATGTTATTATTGTTAGAAAAGTTACAATTTAACGTTCAAAACTTGTTAAAAATGTGTTGTAAAGTATCAGTTGAAGCATATGAGAAGTATTAGATACGTCTTAGAAATTAAAAAATATATTTTAAAATTATGGATAAATTTAAGAAGTATCAAAAAATCCAAGGAGTATCTGTATCCGGTATATATCCGATGTTGGTACGTCGTTCTCGTAGAAGTATCCGAGCTTCTGATAAGCGATGAATATTGCATATTCGGGCCCTTAAATGTGTATATGTTAATACCTTAGTGATACTTTTATCCGGTTCTTATGTTTACTTTTGTTTATTTGCTTTCCATAGGTTTTTACCCAAAGAGACCGTCAATTCCATGTATTTTGAGCTTATTGCGATGTTCCCGGTGCTTAAGGAGACGCTTTGGAAAAATTTGCTGAAAAACAACTAAGTGTTGAAAACAGGGCTCGAGCGCTAATGATAGTGCTCGAGCGCTGTCATCATGAAAGTTATAAGAACATGCGGGAAAGTTGTAAAATCACCTCTCTTTGTTCCTATATGGGCCCAATTGTTCCCAAAAGCTATAAAGCCCATTCAAAGGGGATTAGGACTTGTTCTCAACTATAAAAGAAGATGAAAAGACACAAGGAAGGGAGCTTAGCACTTTTGATATCGATTGGTGGCTTTTAGGGTTTTGAAAATTGAAGAAGAAGATCGTACGGAGTTTTTGGTGGTCCATGGAGATGGTTTCTACAACAATAATGAAGACATCTTTCCTCTCCATGAGTAACTAAATTCCATCTTAGGGCATTGATGTAACCCAGTCCGAGTATCATGGTTTGATTGTTCTTAACTTTGGGGGTTTTTATAGTTTATGTATATTGATTGCATGGTTGTGAGCAACTGACTTAGTATTCCTAAGCAATTGCTTTTTAATGAAAATAATTGGTTCTTGAAGAAATTGATCTCTTGTCTTAGAATTAATTTTGCTTTAATCAAATTCAAACTATTTTTATTGCGAGAGATTGGCGGCTAAGGGCTTCTCTTAACGGTTTAAGTAGTGATCATGCAATGGTGCTTAATTGAATTGTGAATGAATGTTTTGATAATTTATGCCCAGGGAAGGTGAGTTGTACTACACCCTAGACTAGAGTAGTTAGGTAGACATTTCGTGCCAACCGAAGATAGATTATTGCTTAATGTTAATTCATAATTTATCCTCCTGAAATCGAATTGGAATTTACTTGTAGTCATTCAATTCCTGAGTATACATAAACATTGAATTCCCCATAGTTGAAGCAATTGACCATGTTACAAGGCTAGCAGTGAAGTCAATCACTAAGTTCTTCTCTCTTTGATCTCATTCTTTGTTAAATTAGTTTAATTTCAGTTTTATTGCAATTTAGACATAGCTAAACACAAAATCATCTTTCCTCTTGAATTAAATTAGGATTAATTTTAAACTTAACAATCCACCACAGTCCTTGAGGTTCGACACCCTCAACATAGTCATATCCAACAAGGATTCGTTCTATTGCGAGTGGTTTATCATTGAAGAAAACACACATCAGCTTCCTATATAATAACAGGTTGGAATCTGCTTTAGTTATAAAAATTTACATGGCACAACTTCAGTGGCCTAAATATCATGATAGAACCTCCTCTAAATACGCATTAGTCATATTCTAAAGCTATTTTAAATTTCCTTTAATTCTGAGACACAGGGTCAGTACATATATTTCCAACTGCCAATATATTCAATACTAAATGCGAAGGCATTTACCACCCACACTGCACAAAATTTAGTTTCCTCTCTCTTCTGAAACTCTGCACTTTAAATTTGCACACTTACGTGTTTGTTTTAACTGAATTAAGCATTTAATTATGAATATATATTGTGATTATTGAAACAAGTGCGTTTGACAATGCAATTTGGATACCCCTTAACAAAATAATTTCCACTTAAAGTGACTTAAAATTTAAGTGATGCAGACTTTGCTTATCAGTAATCACCTAAAATTTATATAGACAGTATCCAAATTTGTAATGTCAGATTCTTTGGATAAATAATGAAATATTCAAAAGTTTTGTAACTAAGAAGTCCTTCCCTCTTTTAGATAAAACTTTTATACCATATTTGTGTAATAGAATGAAAAGCAGGGCAATAAGATATATTTCAGCATGCCAAAAGGTGGCAACAAACAACTGAAGTATGATAGTGGCAGATCAAACTAGTCTTTTGATGAGCTTGCAACTCCTTTTGCTGCTCAGGCTAGACTTCACTCAAATTTTTAAACCCAATCTAGGTTGCTTTTGGGTAGAGGTGTTGAGCTACCCAAGCCGAACCCGATCTATACTACAAATAATATATATATATATATATATATATATATTTGATAAGTAAGATTGTATTAAAAAGGCGTTCAAAAGGGGAATGCATCCCTCAAAAGCTACACAAGATGAAATAGTATTATTAAAGAAATATTAGAGAACCTAGACAAACCTAAAACTAACCCAAATCTAATAGCCTAACTCTGAGTCTAATCCGATAGTCCGACCAAATTGAACCTAACCCGATCATCTTGAGCCTAGAGAAATATATTCAGATTAAGCTCCCCGAATTGGAATTCAGATTGTGCTCAGACTTGGGTTGAAGGTTTTAAACCTCAGGTTAACCCTTCGATCCTCCAAATCTTGAGTTGCACCACTTACATGATTCTACACTGTCCATCCATGAATGCACAACAAGAAATGCCTTGACATGTTAATATAAAATTTCTTTTAGGAAGGCATTAATATAAATTACCAGCACTCTATAAGGATGCAAACAACAGTTAACATTAGGTTGTTCCACTCAATTTCAAAAAGAGAGAGAGAGAGATATTTGGGCAATAAGCTTGTGGGAATATGGTCACAGGTAAAAGAAAAGCAGGCATACAAACACTAATGAGAATTTTTTCAGAACCAAAAAACCTAGATGGCTCAGCATATCATTTGCAGTAAACATTTCAATTTTTAAAAGCTAATAAACAAATCCAATTAAAATTAGAACCAAATGGGGCATTGTACATTTTTTCATTTCTTCCCCTTAATTTTTCAGCGTCCAAACGGAGCACAAAATTGCAACAAATCCAATTAAAATTAGAACCCAAAACAACTTTTGACTGAATCACGAACTAAAAAGTAAAAGAATCCAGCAGAAAACACCAACAAGTAAACAAAAACCCAGATATTCCTTTTAGTTGCCGAGTAACTGTAGACTGATAAAAAGAAAATGAAGAAAAAATCCTAAAATTTTTCCATTATTAGCGGAAAACGAACTTTATATTAACCATTAGGGAAAAAGAATAAGATTTAACATTAATTTCGTTTTATCCAAATATATATATATATATATATATATATATATATATATTCAAGCAAAAAGAAACCAAAATTTGACAAATTTAGAAACAAAAGTTCGAAAAGTCGAACCTTTTGATCAGTCATCTTTACCAGAGAATTGAAGAGAAGAACACGAAACTGTCAGAGAAAAGCTAGTGTAGTGGCCATCAGAGACGAAACAGAGCAGTCTGTGTGAGTGATTAAGAGTTAGGGTTTGGAGCCCAGTAATGGCGCGAGGAAGAAAGGACGAGACGACAATGGAAGACATGAAAATGAGGAGAGAGAAAACGGTAGTCTTTAGAGAGAGAAATCGTAGTGTTGATTTGGGGTTTGTATGTGTGTTTGGGCCGAAGGAAAAACGCAGCTGAGTTCTGGGAAAGAGAAAATCTACCAAGAGAAGAAGAGAAGGCTAAGTTGGGAATCGGAATATAGAGTTAGAGAAAGAGTGTGTGATTAGTGTGGGTCGAGATTGTGTTCGATCGGTTAGTAAAAGGATGCGTATAATGTTTGGAGTCGTGAATCTCTTTTTAAGTAGTCCGTAGTTTTGTTGAAATTTGTGAAATAAATTACATTGACATCAAGCAATTTGCTCTATTAACAATTAGATACAATTTAGTTATTTTTTGACAATAAAAACTATTTAAGTTTGATAAAATTTACAAAGATACCCCAATACAAAATAAATTAATTTTATTACCTTAGTCACTTTTTCATATTTGGTTTTATAACTTTTTAAAGAGACATGCAATTAATGCATTGTTCCCTTTTCAAATTACTAAATAAAATAAAAGATAATGATGGAAATATAATAAAAAGATGTTTTGACTTTTTAAGGAGGACAACTAATTTGGGACATGTAAAAAGAAAAAAATGAACTACCAATAAGGGACGAAGGGAGTATTACATTTAACTTGTGAATTCACGACGTCTTTAAATTATAAAATTACCATTTTATTCTATTAAAAATCATTTTAATTGATCAAAATATCCTTTATATATATAAATACATTTTTTTTGGACTTTATATATATATATATATATATATATATATATACTGAAACAAAAAATTGTATATTTACCAGAAAAAAAAAAAAAAATAGTTCTCTTTAAACTGATGCATGTTCTTCGTATCAAATGTTTAATAATCAAGTCATGCAAAATATAGACCCATTAGTTACTTAGAATTTTGTTTAGATTTCTCTCAATTTTCCCTTTTTTTTATTTAAAAAAACGTGAATCATAAATACAATTAGGCAGCACATCAATGGATTTTAACCCACAAGTCAATTAAATTAAATTCTCAAAAGTATTTTATTGCAAAATTTTAACATGTTTTCTTAATTAATTTATCAAATTTGTAGTAAATTATTTAGTGGTCTATTTTTAAGAGTGTACTTTGAAAACAAATAAGGACCATCATAAAATATTTGATTCTCTGTTGCAAGCTCTCCTGATCCTATATAGGACCACTTCCACGAAAGAAGAAAAATGTATCAATCTTAATGCACTGTTAGTTGCTTAGAATGTTTTTTTTTTTTTCGAAAAATAGTTGCTTAGAATGTTGTTTAGATGTTTATGGTACAGTGGTGTTGGCACAAATTTGGAAGGTAAATCTTTGAAGTTTCGTTTTTCAACTGCACTCTTGACTTAAATGTCACGTCTGTTATGGGCCCATACATGTACTCTGAGAAAAAATATAAAAAAAAAAAATGGCAATAATCATCTTCATCGGACACATTTTCGATCGTAACACTGAAGGTGAAGAAGTAGCCGGAACACGGAGGAGGAGAAGTAGGTGACAGGCCCATGTATCTGCTATGAGTGCCGTTGTAGTGCTCATGGGGGTGGTGGTGATGGCTGGGATAAGCTTTCGTCAGTTCTACATAATCTGATCATCTGAATGCTAGTTGTTGATATTCAATTGAATGCTAATTTCATCAGTTGCATTATCTACTTTATTGATGGAAGGGTAAAAATAAATTTTCATGAGTTATTATATTTTACAATGAAAATGAATTAAATATTGATAGATAATTTGGTCTTTTTAAACTTTTTAAGGACAAGTATGTTTGGATCAAAATTCTAACAGGGTGTCACTGTTTAAAAAATACCTAACTCATATATTACTATCATTACGACAAATCTCGAGTGTGATTATAAATTACCCTTTTATATTGTGTAAAGAGCAAAAAAAACTCATGAACCCTTTTACAAATAATCTTGAATTACAAATTATTTTCCTGAATTATTAATTTGTTGCAATTAAGGATAATTCCATCACAAAAGACTATTTTATACTTTTTCTAAATTTGTCATTTCTTATTAAATGATTTTTATTATTGTTTCTCTTATTTAAATATTAATTATACAATTTACCTTAATTTTATTATTAGTATAAATTTATTATAAAAATGAAAAAAATAGATTTGTAAGTACCATTTTTTAAAATGATTAACTTATTATTAAAACTTTACTATATATTATAAAATTTAGTATACACATTTTAAACTTTTCTACTGTAAAAAAAATACTTTCTTTTTTATACAATACATTCATGAAAAATTAATAAATTACTTAAATAAAAAATACTTTTTTATGCAGTATATCCATGACAAATTAAGAAATTACTTAAATTATTTTAAAATTTTCTACTTAAGATTTTAATTTAAACAATTAATTTAAAATTTTAAAGGCAAAGTTAAGCAAATTTAATGGAGAATGTGTCATCAAATTAGTAAGGACTTTTTCCATAATTCATTTCAATAAAAGATAGATTAAGTGCAATTCAATAAGAAATGGCATTATGGTTACTTAATGTAAAATGGTCTAGGCATCGGTGCATTTTGAAACAAAATGTGATAGTTCAATGGGTATTATGCACAAAATATACTACAAGGGGATTATTTCCAAATTCAATCATAGTTTAGGATTTTTTTTTTTTTTTTTTTTTTTTTTTTTTTTTTTTTGCACTTTACCCTAATATATATTATATTTAAATATTTATTAAAATAAAAATTTACGTCACTCGTGTGTAATTTATCCAAATTTAAAGGAATGTGAATATAATTTACCCTATTTTCATACAAAGGAGTAAAATTATATTTTTATAAAATTTAATCAATAAGTCAGCGAAAAAGAAAACACTAGTGTGTCGCGCAACAAGTATAAATACTAAACCTTGTGTAAAGCTTCAAAGTATGATAAAAATAAAATAAAATAAAATAAAAAATGTTAGGGATAATTATTCATTTACAAAATATAAAAGATAAATATATATATATATATATATATATATATATATATATATATAATTTAGATTCACATTTTGAGGACAACTTATACAAAATGAATAATCCTCAATACTTTAAATACAATATAATAATAAATAAAAATGCAGGAGATGGAATACTTGATAAAAAAAATATAATTAAACTAATTAAACAAAATTGGCCATATATTGTGGATAGTTGTAACTGGTCGGATGCTTATTCATTGACCCAAAAGTTTTCTCTAGACACTGGATCAAAGACTGGTTTTGACTTTGATACCAACTATAAGGAATTAGGCGTTTGTTCGATCTAAAATTTTTGGTTATTAGATAGAGTTTCATATCAACCCATATACACTCAACACTTTCTCATCTTGATCTGATGTGGGACTAAAACCTCTAACAATAGTTCTCCCTTCTATATAGGTATAGACTAATGAATTCTAATATACAAACCTAATTAGTTTAGAAAGATTAATTAGGTTCAAGTCTCTGAAAGAGCAAAGTGGGATGTGTGAGTTTTTTGCCAATGACAAAAAAAAAAAAAAAAAAAAAAAAAAAAAAAAAAAAAAAAAACAAAACTAGGTTCACGAACAACTCTTCATTTGATTATAGAAAAGACAACAGCAGAAAAAATAGATAGTATGTGTGTGTATAGTATATATATAGAGAATGTTGCCATAGACGAAATATGCTACTGATTGTTAGGCTCTAAAACTTAGAATTATTTTTAAAATTCCAATTACGAATTTTTTTTTTTATAGAAAAAATTACCTAAAATTCTAGAATTATTCATAAATAGACATGTCACTATGAGCCCTGTGGCCCAATAATATTTCATCTATCATCTCAAAGTGGATGGTGATGGTTCGAATCCCCAAAGGGCCAAAGTGGGTATTTGTTTTTTGCCAAAAAGAAAAACAAACAAACAAACAAACATTGCAGGAATGTAAGGTTGGCTATAGTTGTGAGTATTTAATGTGATTGTAAATGTTTCTGTCGTGACACATGATTTCACCATCCCATTGGTTTCAAGTGGAGATTTGCAAGTCCTCGAGACCAACCTACGTTGGTCTCGATTTAGCACTGCACTTCTTGCTTGCTTGTTAAGTGTCCTTCTCCAGCATTCTTGAAAAGGTCATGCTCTTGAACGTTAAATGAGGACACGTGGTTTTACTTGAGGTGCCCCTTAAAAGAACATGTCCTAAAGTGTAGTGTCATGTCAGTAATTGTGGTGACATTAGTTATACACATTTTTTTGAAGATTTATCTCCCTTATTGTGCACCCATCTTTTATATTTTATACTTACTTATTTTATTAATTTTAAAATTTATCCAACACTACTCATACACCATAAATTTATTTGAAATAATAAAGGGACAAATGCCCTATCATTCTAAAATGTACATTCTCTATTTAATTCTACTACGTACAAAGGTAGAGAATTTAGTGTAGAATATTAAGTGGGCCCGTAAGGGTAGAATGTTAAAAAAAGGTGCGCAGTGGGATGCTTAAGGCTCCCACCTATGCTTTGCCGCCACAGGAGTGGGTCCACCTAAGTGCCATATGGACCTATGATGTTTTTTGGAAATCCATCCCTACTAGGGGTGAGCAAATAATCCGTCAATCCGTTAATCTGGTCCGAATCAATCCAATCCGTGTGGTTTGGTTCGGTTTTCAGATCTCATGGTTTAGTGATGGTTTGAAAAATTTGCAATCCGGCATTCGCAGTTCAGTTAACGGATTGGATCATGAAAAAATCGATCCGAACCGTTAACCGATCCGAACCGAACCGTTAATAATATATTAATATTATATATATTAAATATACGTATTACTTACCTACCTCCCAAATAACCCTAGCTCCCATCTCATTTCATTACAACCGCGCCTCCCTCAGCCTCTTCTAAAACTCCATTAAATTCGTCGATCCCCTCTCTCTTTCTACTTTCTCTCTCTAGGTCTAGGACATGGGTTTCATAGCTATTCCAACTCTTTTCACTATCAGTGTTGCCTTCTTAATATCAGCGAATGGATCAGCTCATGCCTTTGTCCACATGTACGACCGAGATTATTTCAAAGAAGTCGGCAATGCTTTCCTTCTCTCCGGCGGCAACGAAGGCATCGTTGCTTCTCTCATCGCCGTTCTTCTCACCGACAATTCGATCCCATCGTCAAATCATAATGGCCGTTCTTATATCAGGTAATATATATACATGTATTTATATCTATATATACATAA